TCACCTTTCAACCATTCCCTCTAGCAAAATGCCAGGCGTCATTCAGACTAAACTGTGGCTCTCAACATAGCCTCCTCTTCCTCTTGCTGCTACTTATAACCAACCATGCCAACTATCTACATTTTGCTATATTAAACTGTTCATACAATGTTGCTGATTTTAAACCTTCTTTCTATTACCTTTTGGCCTTGAATGAAAGACATCTTGCTGTTACCAAATGAGGCCCATTTTACCTGCCCTGCAGAATGCCAATCATTGGAATGATGAGTTTTGCAAAGAATTTATTCAAGAGGTGCCAGACACAGGACTGTGGGAGCCCCAAGTCTCAAAGCTACCTCTCTGAGGATGAAGTATAGAGGTATTTATGGGATATAGAAACAGGGTGGTCTGAGACAGGGGGAAAGGTGATTGGTGGAAAGGAAAAGTAAAGTAATCAGTGGTCTGCGTGTGCCTAATAAAATTTCATCGGCTCTTCATAGAATACATATTCAGAAAATGGTGGTGTTAATGTGTTATGAGGGTGGAGTTGAAGCCCTCTGACATCAAAAGATCACTCATGGGACACTTGAGCACGAAGGGTTGGTAGTTTCAGGTGGTTTGAGCTACATCTAACTTACTGAAAAACAACTTAGGCAACCGTCATCATCGTGATTTTTATATATAGGTATTACCCATAGCACAGCTAATGGTGGCATATTGCTTAACTATGTGACACCTAAAATTGGAGATAAAAGCAGGTTACTAAAAGCAAGAGAAGCTAAAGTATTGATTTAGGTTTTTCGTTGGTTTCATTGCTTTCATTTTACAAGTAAATATATAGTATGGATCCAGAGACTCTGTACTAGGAATTGATGACAAAATTATTGATGCCTCAGTGGCAGTATTTAAAAGAAAAGGTAAATTTTTAGGTAAAAATTTTATTAGAAATCAGCTTTGGGGAAAATGATATTAGTTAATATTTACAAATGTTTTTAAAGGAGGACAAAAGACTGCCACTAAAAATTCTTATTGAAAACATAGCCATTTAATTTCTCATTTTAAAATTATCCTGCTTAGTGTCTTTTTTTTTTCCACTTGTGAAATGCAAGTCCATCCTTTGAATATTGTCTCCAGCTATGCTTCTGTTTGAGACCCATGAGTTAATTCTGATGGGAAGATACCAGTGAAGAATGGACAGAACAACCAGAGAGAAAAATGCTGATGGGGAAAAAACACAACAAGAATTAGGAAAGTGACAAGAGACTTTTCAAGGAATACTCGTATTTCTTGATTTATGTAACTTAGCATCAATAACTCAACTACGAATTCAATACCTATCTTTAAAAAAATTCACTGGGTTCAATCTCAAGCACCACCCCAAACAAGACAAAATAAAACAAAACAAAAAAACCCTAAATGACATGAATATTTCATCTATTTTATATATACATTTGTATTTATATGTGCTTTTAAAATTTTTTTGGTAGTTGTGTATGGACAGAATGCCTTTATTTCATTTGTTTATTTTTATGTGGTGCTATGGATCAAACCCAGTGCCTCACACGTGGTAGGCAAGCACTCTGCCATTGAGCTACAGCCCCAGCCCTTATATGTACTTTTATATTCATATTTATGCTTATATTTTACAGAGCTAGGGATCAAACCCAGGGTCTAGTGTGTGCAAGACAAGTGCTCTCTGTATTTCCTCTGTTTTAGATTAAAAGTGCTTCTGAGGCCAGAAATTGTTCATATTTCTTTCCTGGATATTTGGAACAGGTCTATTCTTAGAACAGGCATCCAATAAATACATATTACAAATTACAATGACAGAGCTACTTTATTGGTATTGTTGGTAAAGATGGCGCCCAGAGTGCTTCTCTTCTGGGAGCTCAGGAAAGATGGCGCCCGGAGCACTTCTATTCTGGGAGCTCAGATCCATGACGCACTAAATGGTGCGCGAACCATCACCTCCAATCCGTGAAGTGGCGTGAACTCTCAGCCAATGAAGAAGTAACAGCTCACTTGCCTTGCTCCTCCTCATCCTGTGTTAAGCCCATAAATATCAACACCCTGTTCATGTTCTTTCTCTTACTCTCTCTTCCCCCTCTCCTCTCTCTCTCTCCCCCCCACTTCCCTTCTCCTCTGCGACTGGCAGCTACATCCTGCTAATAAAATCTCAGACAGGTAAACGGTTGTTTTGGCTTGTTGAGTTTACAGAGCTTTCCCATCGTCCTTTATGTAAGACTGGAAGACGCTGCACCACAAGACACAGATCACCAAAGAGGTTTCCGCTTTATTACAAAAGGCTGTGTGTTTATATAGGTCTAAGGAGAGGTCGTGCAGGGCTGAGGTAGATAACAGCTCACCCGTTTATTGGCAAGCTCTTCCATATGTCAGTTCCGGAGCCCAAGAAGTTAATTCTTATTGAGGCTAAGGCTTCCCACCAGCAGGGTTTGAACATTGGCACCGGCGGGAACATTTAGCGCCAGTGAAAGAAAAAAAGAGGAGAAACAGGGTCGTTAGACACCATGCTGGGGTTTTACTCTGGGGTGCTGCTGCCGTTATGTTTTCCCAACACTTTACACGTTCAGAATAATTACAGGGGCTACTCTCCTGGTTTGTCTGAGCCTACACCTATTAATACTTCTGTATAAACGAGTCAGAAAATTAGCATTTGAAACTCTTTGAAGCAAATAAGTTATTAATTTGACACATGTTTAAAACTCACATTTGATATAATCCTTTGAAGCCAGATTTAAAGTTAGGTAGTCAGTGTAGTTAGGTAAATCTGGCCTAATATTGAGTAAGATCCAAAATGGAGGCCATGTTAAGAATGAATTCCGGGAAAAGCAGAACAACTCTTGGAATGTTAATGTCCCCAAGGCCCAGAGCCCATCCCAAAGAAATGTTAATGAAGATTACTTCTTTGCCCCACCTGTGCCCCACCCTTTGGGCCTTCCCACCTACATTCCATCATTGAAAGAACTATAAAAAGGGGAAACAACCTCACTTCCACGGATTCCACCTCTTGGGTCCCCTTCTCTGGGAGAAGTCTTTTCTGCTGTCCTTTAATAAAGCCTCTACTTTCCACTCTGACCTTGCCTCAGCGTGCTTCTCTGGTGTTATACTTCAACATTGGGGAAGCAAGGACTTGTCACTGGTCAACAGCGGTAACATATCGGTAACACCTTCAGCCAAAAGGTTCATTTTTTTAATCTCAAAACAATCAAAGCAGATGTCATTGGTTAAGAGTCCATTTGATCAATAGCATTTCACAATTTGTACCAACATCTGGGTAACGAAGCTTTGCACGTCACTTTAAATGGATGGAGTGCCAAATTTCTCAAATGCATTTCCACAAAATGCAAACTTTTTTTTTTTTTTTTTTTGGTGGGTGTTGGGGAATTGAACCCTTGAACCAGGGGAGCTTTACAACTGAACTATATCCCCAGCCCTTTTTATTTTGGGACAGGGTCTCACAAAGCTGCTGAGGCTGACCTTGAACTTCTGATCCTTCTTTCTTAGCCTTCCTGGTGGCTGATATGGTGTGGGCCACTGCAACCAGTCACAAATAGGTTTTAAATGAAAGCCTTAACTGTTCTTCATTTGAATTTCTCCAGGGTCAAAGTTCTGGCTCCCAGAAAAGTTACCCACAAAAGGTAAGACAGTGATAGAGAATTTATTACATAAGCTATCTGATGAGCAGATGTCAGGGATTTTTCTCCCAAGGAGCCCTCTTGCCATAGGCTGATTTAGGGGAGGTTTAAAAAGAAGGGTGATGGAAGATTAGTGGGCACCTTCTCACAGGTGGAGGTTTGTGGTTAAATGAGGCACCTCTGATCCTAATCTCCTAGTTACAAGATGTTTCTCAGTTTTGCAAATTTCAGCAAAAAAAAAAAAAAAAAAGATTATTTCCTTGGGCTATTCTTGCAACTGATTAGTTTGGCCACATGCAGTTTCTGACATTATACAGGGAACAAGCTAGAGGAAAGTGGTTGGCCCCAGGCCCCTCGGCTTATCCACCAAACACTTGCTAATGAAAAGAGTATAGTTTGCCTAATCCCTGTGGAAGACAAAGGTCACATTGAGATAAAATAGAGAATTGGTCTTGAGGTCTGGTATCTGTGCTTGCCTTCAAGAATTTTATTCTGGGCTGGAGATGTGGCTCAAGCGGTAACGTGCTCGCCTGGCATGCGCGCAGCGCTGGGTTCGATCCTCAGCACCACATACAAATAAAATAAAGATGTTGTGTCCACCGAAAACTGAAGAATAAATGTTAAATCTCTCTCTCTCTTAAAAAGAATTTTATTCTCCTAGGTATAGTGACTCACACAAGGGCCACTTAGTGTCACACATACCCTGACAATGGCCAGAGGTTTCTCCTAGGGTGGTACCTGCGTTGGACACATTTAAAACTAACAAACAAGTGTGACATTGTAATATTGTCTTAAAAACCCAAGAGTTGGTTATCTTATCACCAGCATATCTTCCTCTCTTCTCCCTCAGCCGAGACCACTTGTTGGCTCATCCTTCACAGGGTGAGGAGACCACAGCAATTATAATGCAGCGCCCTCTTTTCCCTAAGCGAAGTGAGGGCGGACCGGGCGCCCAGACAACGTCTATGGTTCCAAGATGCCGGATTCTTTTCGGACTCGGCTAGTCCCACTGTGAGACCCGAGGGACCCACTTGCTCCGCCGGTTGTCTTGGGGCAGTCTAGGGCCGTGGCCTCTCTGGAGGGCCCACCCTAAGGGCAGGGCGAGGGGCTGGAGCGAGCGCCGTGACGCGAACGGCCCGGGCCAATGGGAGCACCCCGTGGCGCCGGCCAAGCCGCCGGGCCATAAAAAGGAGGCGCTGCCGGTCTGTCCAGCCGGCGGCGGCCTTGACTCGAGCTTGTCTCTGCCAGATCGCTTACCGTCCTCAGGTGATTCGGGCCACAGGTCATTGCGGGCCGCCGCCTGCGAAGTTTAGCTGCAGCCTCCTGAGGCGCCCCGGGGTCTCCCCGAGCCGTAGCAGCGGGACCATGGAGAAGGGCCCGGTTCGGGCGCCGGCGGAGAAGCCGCGGGGAGCCAGGTGCACCAATGGATTTCCCGAGCGGGAGCCGTCTCGGCCCGGGCCAAGTCGGCCGGCGGAGAAGTCCCCGCGGCCCGAGGCCAAAAGCCCCCAGCCCGCGGACGGCTGGAAGGGCGAAGGACCCCGCGGTGTGGAGGAAAACGAGCTGAACCTCCCCAACCTGGCGGCCGCCTATTCGTCCATCCTGCGCTCTCTGGGCGAGGACCCCCAGCGGCAGGGGCTGCTCAAGACGCCCTTGAGGGCGGCCACGGCCATGCAGTTCTTCACCAAAGGCTACCAAGAGACCATCTCAGGTCAGTGTCCCGGCCGGCCGCGTCCGCGCTGGCTACTGGGACGTGCGGGGAGCGGGAGAGGTGGCTGCGGGGAAGCCGGCGGCGGCTCCAGGAAGTTTCCGGAGTTGCCTCACTCTGGGCGGAGGGAGCCCAGTGCTGTCACCTTCGAACCCCGCCCTCCGTGCTGGCCAGCTGCCCCGAGGCGAGGATCCAGGCGCCCAGGAGAGCAGCGGCCTCGCCTCCCGGAGATCCCTGCAGCTGTCCTCGCGGGGTCCTCCTCTCTCCCAGCACTCAACCTCCCCTCTAGAGCCTGGGGCTGGGGGTTCCTTGGGCGGAACCGCTGTCACTGAGCTCCTCGGCGGGCGGGAGTCTTTTGCTGCCCTTCTCACCTGAGCACCCAGAACCGGGTGCTTGAGGCACTAGCAGAACACAACTTGATAAGGATCGCCTACGCACTTGTTGGAAATTACAGGTTCCTAGGTCGTTTCTTTTCTTGAGATCCTCCTTCCTGCCCCCGCCCCCCTTTTGGGGGGGGGGGGCTTGGAGTGAAGCCCTGGCTTCGTGTGCATCGGTCATCCAGAGTTCTTACGCCGCAAAATCCAGGGACCAGCATTCTGATTTATTTATCAGGGGACTGGGGACTTCAGAGAGTTGTTAATTCTTTCATCCATCTCAAGTTTACTTTAGCTCAGGACTTTTCCAAAAATTGGAACAGTTCTGAGTGCAGTCTTCCCTGGAGTTTGAGGTGTGAGGTTTCTTGGGCTAATTTGCTGCTGAAAGCCTTCGTCCTTTTCCTCCTTCTAAAGAAAGAAAGCAATTCTCAGCTGATGCTCCAGAGTCCCCTCCCTCCAAGTCAGCTGGGTTGACCCAGTGTAGTCTGGATGCCTGTCCAGCTTTCAGCGGTGGGTTAGCAGGCAGTGTGGGTCTGTGAGGAGGCCATGTGAAGGGGAGTGGAGAATAATCCAGGAATGCCTGTTTATCAGGCGAGCAGTGTTGATATTTATTTATTTTTAAAATCTTCTGGTATCTTTGGCTGGCATCAAAGTCATTGTTCTTCATTCCACGTCTTCTGTACATATTGGTGACATTTATTTCTGTGAAGAAGCCTTTGCCTTTACCGTTTCTCCTAGAAAAAAACAGTGCTGTCCCTGTTATTTTCCTGAGAGAGTATGGAGCAACTCAGACTACATTCTGGGAAGAACAAAGTTATTTTTGCCTAGTCTTCCACACCCTAAAGGAAGGGTGGGAAATCAAAGCACGAGAGGGGTGGGGTGCCAAGAGGAAATGATACTATATCCTAAAGCCAAGAAATGGACCTTTAGTCCCATGATTTTCTCACCTCTTGATGGCAAAAGTTTAGAGTTTCAAAATGCAAAGGGTAAAGAATAATGGTTCTGTTTTCTGTGAGTTCAATTATCCCAGAGTAAATATTCTGGGATATAATGGAGAAGACCCTTTAGGGATCTTGTTCATTCTGTCTCTTGAAGATACAGGAGGAGGAGGAGGTGTCTCCACAGCCTTGGCAGGACAGTGGCCTGTAACCTAGCATGGGAGGGACAGGCCACAGACTACCTAAAGTGAGCCACAGGTTTACTTGAGAAAGAGCAGCAGCAGCTTGTCTCATAAGTCAAGATTCAGCTACAGAGGACTAAAGTCTCCAAAGAGCACTTTATTCTATCTTAGAAAACTGTTCTAATCAAGTGTTAACTTATTATTTAAAAAGTCTGAGGACTTACAAATGAGGCAGAATAGTGATTGCCATCTGAGGAAGAGGGGAGAATGGGAAGTGACTGCTTAATGGTTAATGGGTATGGGGCTTTGTTTTAGGATGATAAAAATGTTCTAGGATGAAAGCACCGTATTGCAAATGCTACTGAACCATACACTCTAAAATGGCTAAAATGAAGAATTTTGTGTGTATTTTACTATGATAAAAAAGCTCATGGACCTTATTTAAAATAATTAATGGTTATTAATTGAATGTCTTAATGGGTTCAGTGCTTTGCGTGGATGGTCTTGGTTAATCCTCAATTTTGAGGTGAATTCTGTTCTCTTACCCCATGACATGGAAATCAAGGCAGAAAGGTTGACAGTTTACAAGTGGGAGAGCCAGGCAGCCCCATGGCTGAACTCTTCAGTACTTATCTCCTTATGGTGCAACACAGGGAGATGAATCAGTGCGCCTTTATCTACCAAATACTTCAACTTTGAGCTGGGTTACCAGCATTAAAAACAAACAAGCAAATGGTGGAGTAGAATGGATAAGATCAGTTTATCATATGCAATAAGACTAGTAAGGATAAAGTTTTAGGGAACTCACAGGTATGATTTGTGTGTGTGCGTGCATGAACACACACAAATCATACCTGTGAGTTCCCTAAAACTTGACTCCACATGTGGAATGCATTTCTCATTGGGGTTGCAGTCAAAAGTTTTGAAAAATATTAGAATATCACAATTAAGGATTAAATATTTATTTTTAAGAGATATATAATTAAAGCAGATTGAGTAGAGAGACAGCAAGGTTGATACTGAGTTTAAAGAAATGAACCTGAAATGGTGGTTTTCCATGTCTTGGACCACCCAGGATGGGAGAGAGAAGGAAGGATACAGGTGGGAGAAGTGAGTGGCAGGTGGCTGGAGGAGTCATACCTTTGTAGAAAATATAGAAGAGAGTAATAGGACAATCCTGCACAATCCTCAATTTTTATTTCTTTCGGAGCATAAATCTGACTACTATAGATTATTTTGAATAGGAATAATCTTTGAAACTCATTTCTAAGCTTGTGAACAGATTAGGACCTTATTTACTTTATTCTGCATATTAATTTTTGGTTAATATTGTTGATGTGCGAGAAAATGTAAGTTGGGCCAGGGTGCACAGTTGTGCACTCCTGTAATCCTAGTGACTGAGGAAGACAATGGCAAGTTTGAGGCCAGCACAGCAATTTAGTGAGACCTGTCTTAACTTAAAATATAAAAAAAAGGACTGGCGATGAGGCTTATTGGTAAAGTGTTCAATACTTAGTACCAAAAAAAGAAATGTAGGTTAGTATTTCATATTCCCCAAGTTTTTTTTTTTTTCTTCCTTCTTTTTGCAGTTCCCTCCTCTTGTGTGATTTGAGGCTAGTTTCTGATGCCCTAGGGAATTTATCATGTCCCCACACTGCAGCTTCTCTCCATGACCTTTGCCCCAGCTTTCTAGTGTGTTCTCATGGAAGCATTTGTGGTTGCCCAAGACAGGGCTATGTCACAGCTGTATAATTCTCCCAGTTTCCTGTTCACTTCTGGGCTGTAGCTTGTAGGTGGAGTGGACACCAGAACCTCTCCAAGGAACGGGAGAATCTAGCATCATAGGCTGATCTTTGGACCAACTTACACCAACTCCTCTTTTTCTGTTTCTGCCCCATTTCAATATAGCCATAGCCTATTTCTCTTACATATTCAATTTTTCTTGTGGTGAGTTCTTTCTATACAAGGGCCCTTTCCTGTATGTCCACTCTCCTTTTATTCAGAACCAGTACTGAATTAAAATTTGAGTGTCCACTACACCCTGATATCTTTGGCTTTTATTTCCCTGTGACTGACCCTTCCTATTCCCTGTCCTCTCCCAGATATAAAAAAGGAGCAACGTTTTTAGAGAGTATTATCTGCCAAATGTTGAATGGGTACAACTTGTCTATCAGTTGTCTTTTTTTTTTTTTTTTTTTTTTGATACTGGGGAGCGAATCTAGGGGCACTTAACCACTGAGCCACATCCCCAGACAGGGTCTCACTGAGTTGCTTAGGGCCTCGATGATAAGTTGCTGAGGCTGGCCTTGAACTCATAATCCTCCTGCCTCAGCCTCCAGAGCTGCTGGGATTAAAGGCGTGTGCCACTGCACCCAGCTCAGTTGTCCTTTTTAAGATGAGTTTATGGGAGTACACAAGAATCTTGGCTCTATCACATTTTCTAGTTAAATTAGGTTTTAGCTTGTCTTATCCAGACTGCCAAGACAGTTTTCATAATCAGGTTGACAGTGTCTCCAAATCTGGGAAGCGTGGATATCATCTAGCTTGAGGAGATGGCACCAGAGGTGACTGTTTTCCCTGATGGGGCTGGGGAGGCTCAGGCATGCACAGTAAATCAGGTCCCCTCCTCAACCATGTTCCCTGCCAGATTGTCTCCATTCTCTGAGGATTACGCAAGGCAGTCAGATACTTCATTTATACAAGAATGAATTCTTAGCTACTTCATACTGTAATGTGGTAGTCACAAAAGATTTTTCTTTTTGAATCACAAACCTCTCTGATTGATTAAACCAGGCTGTTATGCTGAACTAAAAATAAAAACTAACAGTTTTTAGCATGTTAAAGGGACAAAAAGTCAAATAATTTACTATTCCTTCTTACATCTTTGGTGAAAGGTGAGTTTGTCCCAAGTTTTAAAGTATATTGTAGAAAAATTCATTTTATTAGAGGGTGGGTTGTGACTCAGCGGTAGAGTGCTTGCCTAGCATGTGTGAGGCCCTGGGTTCAATCCTCAGCACCACACAAAAATAAATAAAAATAAAGGTTTTGTGTCCAACTATAACTAAAAACAAAAATAAGTATTAAAAAGAGAGAAAAGTTCATTTATTAAGAGATGCTGTTTTGACTGTTCAGCTTATTTATTTATTTATTTATTTATTTATTTTTTTTTTAAATATATATATATTTTTAATATTTATTTATTTATTTTTCGGTGGACACAACATCTTTGTTTGTATGTGGTGCTGAGGATCGAACCCGGGCCGCACGCATGCCAGGCGAGCGCGCTACCACTTGAGCCACATCCCCAGCCCCTGTTCAGCTTATTTAAATCTTGACTAATAATTTGTTTTTAATTTTGTTGATGCTCATATACAATTTAGGTCTATTTGCTGCTAGAAAGAGCACTGTGAATAAAGAGGAGAAAAATGACAAAGCTGTGGATATCTTAATGACTGGAATTTGCAGGAAATCGAAATGGATTAAAACTATTAAGAACAGGTTATTGAAAA